TTAGAAATAGCCGCAACCTTGGTATACATTATCAAGTCATGTATGAAGTTAGTTCACTAATTATTCGTAAGGAACTACACAACCTTTCCAGTAATCAGTTAAGGGTTTTAGTCCTTGAATTCACACCTACTTAAGGAGAGTTTTCAATAATTGGCCTCCCAAAATGCAAAAAGCAAGATTCCTTAAGTGAGATCTTCAACCTTTTGAACAACATCCTATCCTTTAGTCATAAGTTAATCGACGTGCTTTAATGTCTACAACATTTTCAATATCAAGACCTTATGCATCTTATATATACATTATCCTAGGTCAATGCATGTAAAGATCAAATCATATCAATCATGTATAACATACCAATGCTTAAAAACTCATTCAAGTATAGTATATCAATCACACAAAACATATATATGTTCATCACCATTTCAATTACATAAATATAATATATCAATGTTTATTGTTATCATTTTACATCACACAACATGTAATAAGCTTAAGCAATCTATTCATGTTTACTATACATCATTTAATCATCAATAATTAAATCATCATCATACATTATCCCAAATCAATATATAATCAAGATACAAGGCATTAGATTAAACCTTCATTCTACTTCATACAAACATCTAACTCATACAACAAAGAGGGAACCCGACTTTAAGTGTCAAAGATTCTCACTCCAAGTAACACAATTTTGTTTTGATCAGCGCCAAGAAACTCGCTTGGAACGAGCTCAGACAGAGAGCACCCCTTGGGGTCTCACTTAGGTCGTTTTAAGCGACATCACCGTTGCTCCAGGCGACCAAATTCACTCAAAGCACTCCTTAATTCGCTTTAAGTGAGCAAAGTCAAGGACTACCCCCAAACTTCCACCTCTACTCGCTCTAACTGAGTGAGTTCTTGCTTTGAGTCACCTAAACCCACTTTAAGTGAGCCAAGTCAAAGACCACCCTTGACCTAGTCACACCTACTCGCTTATAGCAACCCCTAAAACCACCAGATGCAACAACAAGGTTTTTCAAAATCATCTCAATCACCTTAAGAACAACTAAAACCTTCCCTTTCATCATGAAATTTCAAAATTTTCAACCATACCCTCATGCATTATCAAAATCAACAAAAAAAAAAAACATTTGATCAATCATAACTTCCCTTACCTCAACAATTGCACCAAGATAATGAGGATAAGAGAAAAAGGGAACCAAGCTCTCCAAAAAAACTTTGCACGATACCAATGTAGATTTAAGCTTTTGAACTTGAATCAAGACACACAAGAAGATATAAGAAATATCGGGAAAAAGATTCACTAATCAAGAGAATGTTTAGGCAGAAGGAAAGATTCACGAAATCAAAACTTCTCTCTCTAGACTATCTCTTTGAAATTCTTTAGAACTAAACTTATAAAACTCAATTCTAAAAAAGAAAATCTTATACACTACCTTCTCTCAAGTCGACTAAAACTTTGGTTAGGAATCCTCACAACACACTACTTATCTATGTACAATATTAATTAATATAACTTTTTTAAATATTAATAATTTTAAAAATATTGACATTGAATTTAAAACTAAACATAAAGTTACATCTTTATTTTTATGAACATTAAAAAAATATCTGAGTTTGTTTTACTGAAAAAAAATATTAGAGTTTAAAAATTGAAATAATTTAAATTTAAATATAATAAGAATCCTAATTTTTATTAGCATATTAAATCAAAAATTTAATTAAAAATATTTAAAATAAATAAAAAAATTAATTATCATATTATCGAAGATGTTCTTTGTTTATCTTAGTACGTTTCTATTGTAATAATTGACATCAAAAGATGCTAATAAAAGGTTGGTAGATGCAACTTCAACACATGTTGAGAGAAGGCAATAAGTGTATTGATTTTATTATTATTTTTTGGCTAAATTAGATCAGAAATCTAGTTCTGTGTATCTAGATTTAGACTCTCCTCTAATGACTTGAAAATCGGACTCTCCCTCTTGCGTGATGACTTAAAACCACTTATTTTGACTGATGCTATAGGAGTACCTTTTTCTAAGGATGTAGTTCTTTTTTCTTTGTTTTATTTATCTTCTTTTAAAAAAATTATTAAAAGATAATGTTCATGTTACAATATTTAGTCATTAATAAATATAAATTAACAAAATTCTAACTGTGTAAACATATGAATAATTGGTTAAATACTTTTAAACTATAAAGATTTTTTTTTATAGTATTTTACTGTAGAAATATAATTAAAAATTTAATAAATCTGTGAGGAACAATAGATAAATTTAATCTAAAAAAATCACAAATTAATTAGTCTACTTAGTACTTACTCTAAATTTCACTCCTCACTTATTATGATTTATCTTGGTTGGGTAAAAAAAAAAGTTGTAGACACCTTCAAAAATCAAGAAGCTTATGTTGTGCAAAACCGAGCATGTACATGTGATTTTAATATATATATATATTAGTAT